AGAGGTTTTCCTTAGCAGAGCAGCTCAAGGCTTTGCTGCAGATTCAGATCTTTTGGTAAGTGCAGCTGAAGAGGGCAGTGGAAGGTTGGCAGCCTGGGACTTCAACTCGCCCTCTGCTTGCATGAAGGATGACTCTGCCACCCAGAGAAAGGGCTGGGCAGGAGCAAAGACACCTGGGCCCTTCTCAGTCTGGGTTCAGGCCGGGGCCCAACACCAAAATGCCATTGGTTGCAATTCTCGTGGACTTTTGGAAGGCTTGGGATAGATGGGTCACAACTATTATGTCTTCCTGAGATCTCAACCCCATCGATTTGCTATCCTTCCGGACCGGCTTTGGGGACTGGAAACGGGAGGCAATTTATTGTGGTGGTTCTGTTTCTACTTTCAATTGGTGTGTGTAGAAGAGGAACCAAGTTCTGGCCCCTGAAATTGGGGTGGCCCAGGTCTCAAGGCATTTGCTCCTGCTTTTCAACGTCTACATGAAACTGCTAGGGGAGGCCACCCATCCTATGATACCCAATTATGCACAGGTAGTCAGTCCTTGATTTACAACATTTCAATCAGTGACCATTTGAAGTTACAAGAACATTGAAAAAGGTGACGTGGCCATTTTTCACCTTGCGGCATGCCCAGTTGGTCATGTGATCAAACTTCAGAGAGTGAGAGGCCTTGCACACAGGTTATTAATGCCTTGCTCACCTCGTTTTGGCTTACTGGCCCGGACCAACCAGAAACCTCATCTGGTCCAAAAGCAGCAGCCCACACAAGGGCCCCTAGGTTGCCCATGTAACATATTTCTCACACGAGCTGCACTGGATTTGTTTTTTAAGGTGCAATTGAAGATGCTGGTCATCACCTTTAAAGCTATTTCTTTATTATAACAATAGCACTAGCACTATATACCACCCCACAGTGCTTTATAGCTCTCTCGGTTTGTAGTATCAGAATATTGTCCCAAACAATCTGGGTCCTCATTTTACTGATCTCAGAGAGATGGAAGGCTGAGTCAACCTTGAGCCCTATCAGTATCGAACTCAAGGCGATGGGAAGAGTTGGCTGGCAATATTACATTCTAACTACTGAGCCACCAGGTCACGTCACTAGTTTCCCGCCTTTTATGATTCTCCCATCTATTGGTTCTACCAAGTCAGATAAGGTGGGCACATTCCTAGCCCCCTTGCCTTAAATATTACCGTCTGAAAGGAGCTAGGAAGTGAGTGTTTTCTGTTGCAGCTCTGTCCTATCAGACACCCTTCCCCCTGAGGTTTGGCGGGCATTTATCCTCCTGATCTTCTGTAAAGAAGTTCTAGCTTTTCCACTTAGCACTGTGATAAGATGAGGCGCCTGCATATCAAAAGTTTGATTTGGGGCCAGGCTTTTGTTTTTATGCATTTAGTTTTAATACTGTCTTTAAGTTAATTATTGATTGGGAGCCAACCTGAGTATGTTATAACATGAATGCCTACATAAATATCTTAAATAAATCAGAGGAAAAAAGATCAATCTGGAAAATGGCTCTGCTGAAGCTACCCATTTGCAGATTGCTTGAGCCACTGAAGGTCTATGCATTTATTTAAGTATCAAATTTATAGGTCGCAAATCCTGCGGTGAACTTCTCCAATCTAACTCCTTGCATAGAGAAAGATAACCAGATTTGAGCAAGAATGGCACCAGGCACGAACATTAGTAAAAACCAGGAGGCCTGGTTAACTTCTAATTTGAGCAAAGGGAAGAATCACGTTTTTTGAATTCCCAGACTACCCGAATGCCATCAACTTTGCTCTAAGTGCCCTGTATTTGCAAATAAACGTTAAATGCAGAGGTTTTGCATTTTGTAATATAGGGGAGTTATTGGTTTCTGTATTAAGGTTTTATTACTGTAAACCATGTTGAGTTATCATTAGTGGGGCTGTCATACAAATTTTCATGCTAAGTAAAAAAAAAAACCAAATATATATCCCCCTTTATTATATGTAGAAATAACTCAGGGCATCACATTTACTCTGGCCGAGCATAACAGTTCCTCTTGACTCCCTGATAAGGAACGACCTCACTGGGCCAGAGAAAGGAAGGTCAGATCAAGTTAGAGAAAGGAAAGAGAAAGGAAGAACAAAGAAAGAAAAAGGAAACTCAAATTGAATTAAAGGCCTACAGGCTAAAACATACAAAGATTGGTTAGAAAAACTGGACATGGCTAGTATAGAGAAGGACCAGGAGTGACATGATAGCAGTGTTCCAATATTTGAGGGGCTGCCACAGAGAGGAGGAGGGGATCGAGCTATTTTCTGAAGCACCTGAAGGCCAGACAAGGAATAATGGATGGAAACTGAACAAGGAGAGATTCAACCTGGAAATAAGGAGAAACTTTCTCACAGTGAGAACCATCAATCAACGGAATAGCTTGCCTTCAGTTGTGAGTGCTTCATCACTACAGCTTTCAAGAAGAGACCTGACTGCCATGTCAGAAATTGTATAGGATAATATGCTTGAGCAGTGGATTGGACTAGATGACATACAAGATCCCTTCCAACTCTGTTAACTCTATTCTATTCCACTCTCATGTTTGATACTAAAACATGTTTTATTAAAAGGAGTCATCCAAGAAATTAGTTAATTGTTCAACTGGGTTTTCAATGAGAGAAAAACAAAATTCAATATTTCTCCAAACAAATTAAATTTTGCCTCAGGTGGAATTGCTTGTGTGTGATAAGGGAGGAATTTTGTACGAAACAGAGTCTGCAATCTGGGTATTTGAATGATTACTCCCCTATGTGTAACCTTACATGATTTATAAGGCTAGACCTAGTACTGAAATCTTTCCCACAATCAGGACATTCATATGGTTTCTCTCCTGTGTGAGTTCTCTCATGTATCACCAAACTGGAATTCCAACTGAAATTTTTCCCACATTCAAGACACTCATACGGTTTTTCTCCAGTATGAGTCCTCTGGTGTTTCACCAGGTAAGAATTCTGACTGAAATTTTTGCCACAATCTGGACATTGATATGGTTTTTCTCCTGTGTGAGTTCTCTGGTGCATCACCAGCTTGGCATTCTGAATGAAACTTTTCCCACAATCTGGACACTCATACAGTTTCTCTCCTGTGTGAGTCCTCCAGTGTATCACCAAACTGGATTTCCGACAGAAACGTTTCCCACATTCAACACATTCATATGGTTTTTCTCCTGTGTGAGTCCTCTGGTGTATAACCAATTCATAATTCTGAATGAAACTTTTCCCACAAAACAGACACTCATGTAATTTTTCTCCTGTATGAGTCATCTGGTGTAAAACCAGGCCAGACTTCCGACTGAATTTTTTTCCACAATCCAGACACTGATACTGCTTGTCTCCAGTATGAGTTCTCTGATGTACCACCAGGTGAGAATTCCGATAGAAACTTTTCCCACAATCTACACATTTATATGGTTTCTCCCCTGTGTGAGTCCTCTGGTGTTCTATCAGGTGGGAATTCAACCTGAAACATTTCCTACAATCAGGGCACTCATACGGTTTTTCTCCTGTGTGAGTTCTCTGATGTTCCACCAGGTGGGAATTCTGACAGAAACATTTCCCACAATATAGACACTCGTATGGTTTTTCTCCTGTGTGAGTCCTCTGATGTTTTATCAGGTTGGAAATATCCAGGAAACTTTTTCCACAATCCGAACACTCATATGGTTTTTCTCCTGTGTGAGTCCTCCGATGTCTCGCCAGATTGGAATTCTGACTGAAACTTTTCCCACAATCTGGGCACTCATATGGTTTCTCTCCCGTGTGAGTCCTCTTGTGTTTCACCAGCGCAGAATTCCATGTGAAACTTTTTCCACAATCAGGACATTCAAAATGTTTCTCTCCAGTGCAAGTCCCCTTCTGTCTCACTACATTGGTGTGCATTGTAAAGCTTCTGTCACATTGGGAGCACTAGTAGAGCTTCTCTCTAGTATGGGTCCTTCCATCAATCATGAGGAAGCTTTTCGGAGTAAAGCTTTTGCCGCATTCCAAACATTTCTATGGCTTTTCATTTGGTGGATCCTCTTATGCATAGTCAGCTGTGATCTACAGTCTGTTTTTTCCCCACATTAAGCTGACTGTGTTGTTTTTCCAACACTGATATTATTGGATTTTTGTGGAGACCAAAAATATTTCTGATCTCTTACTTGGAATTTCTTTGATTGAAGCCATTATTTCCTTCCTCAAAGGCTTTAAATAATGCCTGTCCAATTTGGCTATCTAAGTGACCTTTTCTCTTCTATGACTTCTAGGAATTTCCCACTTTTTCTTTAGTTGGAAATTATCTTCCTTGCCTTCTCGTGTAAAGTTTACTTCAAGTCCATATACTCTATTTTTTCCAGCTCAAAAGTTTGTTCTTGTTATTCTCTCCCTTGTCTCTCATCTGGTGAGGAATAAAAAGTGGTTTTCACTATCCAGAGGAAGTAAAAAAAATGTTTGATGACTTATCCTTTTTAAAGCTGCTTCTCAGTTTCTGTTTTCCACAGTAATCGTCTTGGCATCTTCTTTGTCTGTAAGAATCATATCAATGAGTTAATTTCATTATTGTCAAAAAAATGGCTGCAGAACAGGTGAAACAGGAAAACCACCTGGATTTAACATGAAAAAAACAAACACTAAAATCATAGTTTAAGCTCTAAAATTATGATTCATTTGGCATATAGAAGAGTAGCAAGATCCAAGTTCAAATATTGAATCAATTATATTCTCTTTTTGGCTTGGATAGATCACACAAATATGCACGGCTATTCACACAGAAATAAAAACCTATGAATTTAAGTATGTAGGCAATCTAAGTGTATCAGTGCACAAAATGTTCCAAAAGTGCATTCATTGAAACTTTTAATTTAAATCTGCAAAAGTGGGGACAATAACAGATTGAAATGGTGCCCAAGTGCTATGCAAGATTTAAAGCATCCGCACAGCCCATGAAACTGATGAGCACTTAGTAAGAAACATAAAAAACTAATAAAGATTTATTTAAATCTCCCAGCAGAAAATTAATCACAGGTGGCAGTTTTAAGTCGTGCAGCCCCAGAGGAATAAAATTCCGGGAGGGTAAGAATATGCAGCAGCAGCAGCAGCAGCAGCAGCAGCAGCAGCAGCAGCAGCAGCAGCAGCCCCACATGTTTCACCCTCGTTGCTTCCTCTCCCGCTTCCCCGCCGTTGGAGGAACCCAAAGGGCCGGACCTGCTCCCGGCTTCTCCTCCGACCTGCCCTCCACTCACCTCCCAGGAACCGCTTCGACCCTCCAAGCAGCACAAGAGGCTCCGCCGACGCCATTAACCTCCCGTGGCTGAGCCGGAAGTGGAAATTCCTCTGCCTTTCGCGTCCTCTCCTTTACAACCTTTCCAGCAATCCACTACTCTATCATTTCAACCCGTTCAATCTCAACTTCTGCCGAACAGGGTCTCCAACTTTCCAGGAATTCTGGGAGTTGAAGTCCACTAGTCTTAAAAAGTTGCCAAGGTTGGAGACCCCTGTCCTAGAACAGCTCAGTCGCCGTTTTACCGAGTGTTGCCGCTCTATAGATCGCCATCTAGCGACATAAAGGCGGAAAAAACACCTTTAAGGCGTTTGAAGATGTTCTCATTGATTCCGGGCTTCTTTAAGTGCCAGAAAGTCCTATCCGACTCCCATCGAGCTCATCGGTAGCTTTTCTCCGTGAGGCTCCATCCCAAACTTTTTCTTTCAGATTCCTTTCATGTCCCTGGAGCTGAGCCCGAAGCTTCGTTTGCGAGAAAGGGCCACTAAACCTACTCATAACATACTCAGAGTTGGAAGGGACTTTGTAGGTCCAACCCCCTCCACCCACAAGCAGGAGATCCTACATCATTTTTGACAAGTGGCAGTCCAATCTCTTCCTGAAAGTCTCAAGTGATGATGCTCCCACAACGTCTGAAGGCAAAGCTGTTCCATTGGTTGATTGTTCTCATTGTCAGAAAGTTTCCCCTTATTTCCAGGTTGAATCTCTCCTTGTTAAGTTTCCATCCATTATTCCTTGTCATTATCGCTTATCCCACTCCTCTCTGTGGCAGCCCCTCAAATACTGGAAGACTGCTTTCATGTCTCCCCTGGCTCTTCTCTTCACTAGACTAGCTATGCCCAGTTCCTGTAACCGTTCTTCATATGTTTTAGTTTCCAGTCCCCTAATCATCCTAGTTGCTCTTCTCTGCATTCTTTTTCTAAAGTCTCAACATCTTTTTTATAGTGTGGTGATCAAAACTGGATGCAGCACTCTAGGTGTGTGATCTTACTCAGGATTTATAAATTTACATAGACTTCTGCAAAGCCTTTGATTCAGTGGTACATAACAAACTACTGTTAAAACTAAACTCTTACGGCATTTCCAGATCCCTTCATAAGTGGATTACTGCATTCCTGTCAAACAGCAAAAAATAGTAAAAATAGGGAGCACTTTATCAAATCCTGCTCCTGTTAACAGCGGTGTCCCCCAAGACAGCGTTCTAGGACCCACACTCTTTATATATAAATGACCTTTGTGATCACCTTATAAGCAACTGCGTCCTCTTCCCAGATGATGTAGAACTATTCAACACCACCGACAATGCTACTGCTCTTCAAAGCGACCTTGATTATGTGTCTGAATGGTCAAACAACTGGCAACTCCAAATCTCAACCAACAAATGCTCTGTCCTACACATTGGCAAAAAAAAATCAGCACACCAAATACAAACTAGGTGGATATAACCTCATTGATGACCCTCACTCAGTCAAAGACCTAGGAGTATTCATATCTAATGACCTAAGCGCCAGAGCTCACTGTAACAGCATTGCCAAAAAGGCATTAAGAGTTGTAAATCTAATCTTATGAAGCTTCTCCTCTGGAAATAGTGAATTGCTAACTAGGGCATACAAAACCTTTGCTAGACCAATATACAAATACAACTCATCTGTCTGGAATCCACATTTGTATATCAGACATTAGTACAATTGAGCGAGTCCAGAAGTATTTCATGAGAAGAATACTATACTCCTCCTCGCAACAGAATACTTTATGTCACCAGACTTGAAATTTTGGGCTTGGACAATCTTGAACTACGCCACCTATGGTTGGACTTCAGCGTAGTACACAAAATTATCTTCTACAATGTCCTACCAGTCAATGACTACTTCAGTTTCAACCGCAACAATTAACAGCTCCAAACTTGACTGCAGAAAGTACGACTTCTGCAACAGAGTGGTCAATGCCTGGAATGCACTACCTGACTCTGTTGTTGCATCCTCTAGCCCCCACTCCTTTAACCTCAAACTATCCACTATTGACCTCACCCCATTCCTAAGAGGTCTGTAAGGGACGTGCATAAGTGCACCATTCATGCCTCCCGTCCCTGTCCTATTGTCCCCTTTTAATTGTACCTATTTTCTGTATTTTTACTCATGTTTATATTTATACCTATTATTTTGTAAGTGATTGACAAATCAAAATAAAATGGTGTTAGTACCTCACTTGATCTCAATTGTATGCCTGTTAATGCAATTTAGGATTGCATTAGCTTTTTTGGCTGCTGCTGCACATTGATGACTCATATTTAGCTGGTTGTCCTCCAAGACCCCATCACAATATTTGCTATTAAGCCTGGTTTCACCCAGTCTATATGTGTACTTTTGTTTTTTTCTTACCTAAGTGTAGGATTTTACTTTTCTCTACACTGAATTTCATTCTGGTAGATAGGGCCCAATGTTCAAGTCTGTCAAGATTTTGAGCCTATCTTCTTGGGTGTTAGTTATTCCTGACAGTTTAGCATCATCTTCAAATTTGGTAAATTCCCCTTCTATTCCCTCAGCTAAGTCGTTAATGAAGATATTGAAGAGTACTGGGCCTAAGAATGAACCTTGTAGCACCCAATTGCTTACTTCCCTCCATGTAGTCTTAGACCTATTACACATTGAGAACGGTTTGTCAGCCAGTTGCGAATCCATCTGGTGATAGTGCTATCTATCCCACTGACGGAAATACACAGATTTTCTACATACAGACATTCATAGGTGTGTATTTCCGTGTGTATTGGTGTTTATTTCTGCCTGTGTATATCAATCAGATCAGAGCCGGAAGGGATCTTGGAGGTCATCTACACCAACCCGCTGCTGAAGCAGGAAACCCTTTACGATTTCAGATAGGAGGCTTCCAGTTTACTTCTAGTAATTACTTCCAGTAATGAACATTTTTATTTATTTGTTTGTTTGTTTGTGTGTTTGTTTGTTTATTATTTAGTCAAACAATTATTAGATAACAGGTATAAGTATAAACATGGTTAAAAATACATGAAATGGATACGAATATAAAAGAAACAATAGGACAGGGACGGTAGGCACGCTTTGGTGCACTTATGCACGCCCCGTAATCTTTAAACGCCTTAAGGTAGAACGAGCACGTCCTCCCGCCATTCGGTATGTCACTAAATGGCGGTCTATTCGCGGCCAGTTCAGGGGCGGCAGAGGTATACTATCTAGGGAAGGAGCAAAGGTTGGGCTTGAACGGGTTGATACGATAGAGTACTATATTCCTTGAGAGTTCGTTTATTGATTCGCCCTAGGGCCGTATTCCTAGAAAGGATGTGGAGGAGAGGAGGCGAAAGAGGAACTTCCTCTTCCGGCTCGGCCACGGGAGGCTGATGGCGTCGGTAGACCCTTTTGCGTTGTTTCGAGAGTCGAAGCAGCTCCTGGGAGGTGAGTGAAGGGCAGGTCGGAGGAGAATCCGGGAGCAAGTCCGGCCCTTTGGGTTCCTCCACGGCGGGGAAGCAGGGAAGGGAAAAGAATGGAAAGATATGGGCTTCTGCTGCGTATGCTTTTCCTTCCCAAATTTTATTCCTCGGGGGCTGCAGGATGTAAAGTATTTGATTTTCTGCTGGGAAATGGGAGATTTATATGTTTTTTATATTTCTTACTAAGTGCCTATCAGTTTCATGGGCAATGCGGATGCTTTAAATCTTGCATAGCATTTGGACACCACTTCATCTGTTATTGTCCCCACTTTTGCAGATTTAAATTAAAAGTTTCAGTGAATGCACTTTTGGGACATTTTGTGCACTGATACACTTAGATTGCCTACATACTTAAATTCATAGGTTTTAATTTCTGTGTGAATAGGCGTGCATATTTGTGTGATCTATCCAAGCCAAAAAGAGAATATTATAATTGATTCAATATTTGAACTTGGATCTTGCTACTCTTCTATATGCCAAATGAATTGTGATTAATGTTAGAGCTTAAAAAACTATGATTTTAGTGTTTGTTTTTTCATGTTAAATGTGGATGGTTTTCCTGTTTCACATGTTCTGCAGCCATTTTTTCAACAATAATGAAATTAACTCATTGATATGATTTTTACAGACAAAGAAGATGCCAAGACGATTACTGTGGAAAACAGAAACTGAGAAGCAGCTTTAAAAAGAAAAACAAGCCACCAAACAATTTTTTTACTTCCTCTGGAAAGCGAAAACCCCTTTTCATTCCTCACCAGATGAGAGACAGGAGAGAGAATAACAAGAACAAACTTTTGAGCTGGAAAATATAGAGCATATGGACCTGAAGAAAACATTATATGAGAAGGCAAGGAGGACAATTTCCAACTAAAGAAAAAGTGGAAAATTCCTGGAAGTCAGTAGAAAGGAAAAGGTCGCTTGGATAGCCAAATTGGACAGGCATTATTTAAAGCTTTTGAGGAAGGAAATAATGCCTTAATCAAAGAAACCCCAAGTAAGGAATCAGAATTTTTTTTGGTCTCCACAAAAATCCAATAATATCTGTGTTGCAAAAAAAAAAAAACCAGCTTAATGTGGGTGGAAAAACAGATTGTAGATCACAGCTGACTATGCATAAGGTAAAGGTAAATGTTTCCCTTGCACATACATTCTAGTCGTTTCCGGTTCTAGGGGGCAGTGCTCATCTCTGTTACAAAACCAAAGAGCCAGGGCTGTCCAAAGACGTCTCTGAGGTCATGTGGCTAGCGTAACTAAATGCTGAAGGTGCACAGAACATGGTTACCTTGCCACCAAAGTGGTCCCTATTTTTCTACTTGCATTTTTACATCCTTTCAAACTGCTAGGTTGGCAGAAGCTGTGATAAGTAACGTGAGCTCACTCTGTTACGTGGCACTAGTGATTCAAACCGCTGAACTACCGACCTTTCAAATTGACAAGCTCAGCGTCTTAGCCACTGAGCCACCACGTCTCTCATAATGCATAATCATCATGCATAAGAGGATTGACCAAATGAAAAGTCATAGAAATGTTTGGAATGCGGCAAAAGCTTTACTCCGAAAAGCTTCCTCATGATTGATGGAAGGACCCATACTAGAGAGAAGCTCTACCAGTGCTCCCAATGTGAAAAAAGATTTACAATGCACGCCAATGTGGTGAGACAGAAGAGGACTTACACTGGAGAGAAACACTTTGAATGTTCTGATTGTGGGAAAAGTTTCACATGGAATTCTGAGCTGAGGACTCACCAGAGGACTCACACGGGAGAGAAACCGTATGAGTGTCTGTATTGTGGGCAAAGTTTCATTCAGAATACCAGCCTGGTGATACACCAGAGGACTCATACGGGAGAAAAACTGTATGAGTGTCCGGATTGTGGGAAAAGTTTCAGTAAGAATTTCAATCTATTGGAACACCAGAGCATTCACACAGGAGATAAACCATATGAGTGTCTGGACTGTGGGAAACATTTCAGTCGAAATTCCTACTTGATGGAACACCAAAGAACTCATAGAGGAGAGAAACCATATAAGTGTCATGATTGTGGGAAAACTTTCTGTCGGAATTCTCACCTAGTGGTGCACCAGAGAACTCATACAGGCAACAAACCATATGAGTGTCCGGACTGTGGGAAATGTTTCACTCAGACTTCCAAACTGGTGGTACACCAGAGGACTCACACGGGGGAGAAACCATATGAGTGTGAAGAATGTGGAAAAAGTTTCACTCAAAATTCCAAGCTGTTGAGACACCAGAGAACTCACATGGGAGAGAAACCATATGAGTGTCTGTATTGTGGAAAAAGTTTCACTCAGAATGCCAGCCTGGTGATACACCAGAGGACTCACACGGGAGAGAAACCATATGAGTGTCGGGATTGTGGGAAATGTTTCACTCAGAATTCCAACCTGGTGACACATCAGAGGATTCACACAAGAGATAAACCATATGAGTGCTTGGATTGTGGGAAAAGTTTCAGTCGAAATTCCCACTTGGTGGAACACCAGAGAATTCACACAGGAGAGAAACCATATAAGTGTCCTGATTGTGGGAAAGGTTTCTTTTGGAATTCTAAGCTGGTGGTACACCAGAGAACTCACACAGGTAACAAACCGTATCAATGTCTGGATTGTGGTAAAAGTTTCAATTGGAATTCTGCCCTAGTGATACACCAGAGGACTCACACAGGAGAAAAACCATATGAGTGTCTGGAGTGTGGGAAAAGTTTCATTCAGAATTATGAATTGGTTATACACCAGAGGACTCACTCAGGAGAGAACCCGTATGAGTGTCCAGATTGTGGGAAAAGTTTCAGTAAGAATTTCAATCTGTTGCAACACCAGACCATTCACACAGGAGATAAACCATATGAGTGTTTGCACTGTGGGAAACATTTCAGTCGAAATTCCTATCTGGTGGAACACCAAAGAACTCATACAGGAGAGAAACCATATAAGTGTCCTGATTGTGGGAAAACTTTTGGTCGGAGTTCTCACCTAGTGGTACACCAGACATCTCATACAGGCAACAAACCATATGAGTGCCCAGACTGTGGGAAACGTTTCACTCAGACTTCCAAACTTGTGGTACACCAGAGAACTCATACAGGCAACAAACCATATGAGTGTCCAGACTGTGGAAAACATTTTATCCAGAATTCCAACCTGGTGAAACACCAGAAAACTCACCGCAGAGAAAATCCATATGAGTATCTGGAGTGTGGGGAAAATATTCATTCAGAATTCCAAGCTGGTGATACACCAGAGGACTCATATAGGAGCGAGACTGTACAGAATGTTCGGATTGTAGGAAAGATTTCAGTAGTAGGACTAGCCTCCTCAATCATGTAAGGTTACATGGGAGAAACCATTTTGATGCCAAGATTGCTGACAGTGTTTCACACAAAATTCCTATCAAAAGAGTAGACGCTCCACAAGGTGTTATTTGATGTGTGTAGATGAATCTTGAATATCATTTCTGATTTCTCATTGCAAGCTCTTTTTAATCAAACATGTCTTAGTATTAAACATGGAGGAGGAGGAGGAGATCTGTGTTGGGATGTCCAAGCCTTTTCTAAGCTCCCTTTCTCAGGCTAATGCAGTACCTTCCACACAGGGATGACAGGTGAAGGCCTGTGGTCGGCCAGCGAATGAAACCTGCCCAGCAACAAAATTCTCTCAGTTAAGAAACAGATGAGCACCGCCTCTTAGAACAGGACCGAACAGGAGAACTTTAGGAGGAAAAAGGGCTGCCAAATTTTATTGGAAATAGTTCCTATGAAATGGGATGGATCTGGGTGCTGTACTCTAGGTGTCTTACTAAGGCTTTATACCACTCCATAAAACCTTAGTAAGACTACACCTAGAGTATTGCATCCAATTTTGGTCACCACACTATAAAAAAGATGTTGAGATTCTTGAAAAAGGTCAGAGTAGAGCGACCAGGATGATAGGGGATTGGAGACTGAAACATATGAAGAACGGTTACAGGAACTGGGCATGGCTAGTCTAGTGAAGGACCAGGAGAGACATGATAGCAGTCTTCCAATATTTGAGGGGTTACCACAGAGAGGAAGAGGTCAAGCTATTTTATAAAGTGCCTGTAGGCCAGACAAGGAATAACGGATGGAGACTGAACAAGGAGAGATTTAACCTGGAAATAAGGAGAAACTTTCTGACAGCCACAACCATCAACCAATGGAACAGCTTGCCCTCAGAAGTTGTGGGAGCGTTATCACTTGAGACTTCTAAGAAGAGATTGGACTGCCATTTGTCAGAAATGGAATTGGGTCTTCTGCTTGGGTAGGGGGTTGGACTAGATGACCTATAAGGTCCCTTCCAACTCTGATTATCTGTTATCTGTTAAATTGTTTATGGCAAATAGTTCCCATAGGGCTGGAGCTGCCGTAAAAATGTTCATTTCCTAGCCCTGTCAGTGAAATTTAAAGGAATGTACAAGGAGCGTGCCCTTCCCATCTCAACAAGTAGATGGGAAAATAATAAAGGTGGGAGAATAATGACAGGTGCCCTATTGGCGCAGTGTTTAAGAATGCAGTATTGCCGGCTGACTCTGCCCACAGCCTTCAATTTGATCCTGATGGGGCTTAAGGTTGACCGCCTTCCATCCTACTGAGATCCGTAAAATGAGGACCCAGTTTGTTGGGTGCTATATGCTGAATCTGTAAACCAAGACTGCTATAAAGCATTCTGTGGTGGTATTATGTGTCTAAATGATATTGCTGTAATAAAGAAATGGCTTTAAAGGGGATGGCCAGTAACTTGAATTGTACCTGTAAAGAAAACAATCCAGTGCAGCTCTCGTCACAAGGATGTTACACAGGCGATCTAGGGACTCTCACTACTGAGTGTGCTGCTGCATTCTGGACCATTCGAATTTTCTGGGTGGTCCACCGCAGTGATCCAAACAGGTGACCCAAGGCATGATCAACGCAGCCTGGTTCAGAAAAAAAGGGGCACAATTGTCACACTAGTTGAATCTGCTCAGCCCCTCCCCCAGATATGGCCACCTGAAGCAGGAGCCGTGAATCCAGGAATACCTCCTAATTGTACACCGGTTCAGTCCAGGGAAGTACCAGTCTGTCCAGAGTCAAAGGTGAAATGTCATCTACACAGGAAGTGGCGGGAGGAGGCAAAAATACATGAGTACTCCATATTGCCAGGTACTTTGGGCAGAACTGCCAGAGCATCATCTCTCTCTGGATGGAGATATTTAATGGGGTATCATAAAATGAATAGCCGCCTTGGGCGGTTTCACATAAGACATTAAAAAGGAGGAGCAAAAGGCTTTTAAGTTCCAGGCCACCCCGTATTGCAGGGATTGTCTGGGATTCAGCGGCTCCTCTTCTACCCAGCAAGGTGGAACCGGCCAGGAAGCTAGAAGAAAATTCACCCTAACTCTTAAATGAGTTTATAAAAAGTGACATATGACCACATGAGGGTATCTCTCCAGGACCATGTGGGTCATTGAGGACCTCCTGTGATTTGGATGTAGGAAGAGGTAGGTGTCTCAGGCAAGCAAGCCAGAAGCTGAGAGCTACAAGCAAAGTGGCTGGTCTCCAGGCCTGCTCTTTTCTGGGCCCGGGAGTGGAATTGAGAACCAACTGCTAAAGCGCAGGATTCTTTAGAACTACTAGCGCCCTCCAAAGATTTTGATCAAGCTGCCTGGGGATATTCAATGGTGGAATCTTAACACGCCTCTGGAAACCTGGAAGGCAGCTCAGAGGAATTCTGCCCTCTTAAGTGAGATTTAGGCCCTACAACAATGCAGAGGGATAAATATTATCTCCTGTCTAGATGGGTTTGGAAGCAATGTGGGTGGGCGCTTCGGGTTTTTTTGTCCCGTATTTCATTCTGTTAATGGGAGGAAGATGGCAATCGTTTCGGGCTGCACGTACAAACAAGACCTCATCAGTTTTCATGATGCAACACACCTGTGGAAGTCCTGCTCAGGGTCGAAGGGGCTCCTGGGAGGTGAATGGAGAGCAGGTCGAAGGAGAACTGAGGAGGAAGTTGGGCCCTTTGGGCTCCTCCACGGCATAGAAACAGAAGAGGAAGCAACGAGGCTGAAAACGAGAGCTGCTGCTGCTGCATATTCGTTCTCTCCCGAAATGTTATTCCACTGGATTAAAATTGTCTGCCTGTGATTTTTTTTTTTTTTGCTTGGAAAAAATGCTTGATTCCTTGTTGTTTTCCTGGTAGGTGAGGAGTTTCGTGGGCAAAGTAGATGCTTTAAATCTCGCATAGGATTTGGGCACCATTTTGTCTGTTAGTGTACCCATCTTTCTAAAAGTAAATTTTAAAAAATTGAGAAAATGCACTTCTGGCATGTTTCAATCAAGTATTACATGAAGACAGAGAGAGAGGTAGATATGAAAAAAAAATAAAATAAATTTCCCAGATGTCAAAAGGTCCTTGTAGTTTTCTGACCCAATCCCTTGCTCAAGCAAGAGAACCTATACCATTTCGGGTAAGTGGCTGTCCAGTCTCTTCTTAAGAACCTCCAGTGATGAAGCAGCCACGTCTGAAGGCAAAGCTATTCCACTGGTTAACTGTTCTTCCTGTTTGGAAATTGCTCCTTAATTCCAGGTTGCTTCTCTCCTTGATAAATTTCCATTCATTGTTTTTTGTCCTGCCCTCAGGTGCTTTGGAAAATAAATTGACCCCTTCCCCCTCTTTATGGCAGCCCCTCAAATACTGCTATCATGTCCCCACTATTCCTTTTCTCTAGACTACCCAGACCCAAATCCTGCAACCATTCTTCGTATGTCCCATTTCAATATTATTCTCTCATCGCAGACAGCAATTTTAAACCATGCAGCATAAGTGTAATAACATTTGGGGAAGAGAGAATATGCAGCGGAAGCCCGTATCTTGCTTGGCTTCCCCGCTGTGGAGGAACGCAAAGGGCCCGACTTGCTCCCGGCTTCTCCGACTTGCCCTCCACTCACCTCCCAGGATCCGCTTCGACCCTAAGAGCAGGACTTCAACTCTCCACGACTCCGTCTTCCCATGGGAGAGGCAGAAGAGGAAATTCCTCCTCTACATCCTTTCTACCAGTACTCTGGTTTTAACGCCTTTCACCTCAGCTGCGCCCCCTTCCGTTGAATGTCGGATCTCGGCCACCAGGGATACCCCTATTGACAGATTGCCAGATGCTCGTGTTGTGTTAGAGCTCCACCTAGTGACGTGAGGCTGAAAATACGCACATTCTATATCAGGAGTTTCTAAGGGTTTTTTTTTTTTTTTAAATGAAGTGCCGTTTTCCACTCTTAGCCATCACATTCATAACTGTTCTCCAGGATGATCTAGCCCTAGTCCAGTGGTGGCTAACCTTTTTGGGCTTCTGTGTCAAAAACTGCATGCACCAGCGTGCACACACTTGCGTGCCAGCAACCAGAATGCAATGTGTGGCCCACCCTCCCCACGCCCCGTGCATGTGTGTGCAACCCCCCCTGCCACCCCCTTACCTGCACTGCGCCTCACAGCTGATTTTTTGGCTGGTTTGAGGCCTTCTTCGGCCTCCCAGAGGCTTCGAAAAAGCCTCTGCAAGGCTTTTCAGACCAAATTATAGGCCTGTTTCATCACTTCTGGTATTACAGGAAGTGACGAAACAGGCCTATAATTCATCCTGAAAAGCCTTGCAGAGGCTTTTTCAAAGCCTCTGGAAGGCCCAAAAAAGTCTCAAACCAACCGGGGGGGTGGGGGAATCAGCTGTGAGGCACGTACATGCGCAGTGAGGTAAGCTTGCCTGCAGCTCGCGTGCCAGCACAAGTGGCTCTGCGTGCCACTTGTGGCACGCGTGCCATAGGTTCTCCATCACAGCCCTAGTCTCTCCTTTGGGTCTTGGACACCCACATCGTCACTGCAACTGAGTCTGGAGCTTCTTTTGCAGGAACTAAACCAAGGGACAGCATCTGTGGGGGGGGGGGCACAATGTGCCATCAGGCAATAAAAAACAGCACCTCCCTTGGGGATCAGTAAAGACTCTTCCAGCCAGTTGTTCCTCTTGGGGCAGGAGTGGGATTCAGCTGGTTCAGGCAAACCGGATGCTAATTTTACATCTGATACGCCAAACCAGTATTTTCAAGGACTGGCTAGCTCCCCCTGGCCACTCCCAGGAGTCTCCACATGACCCATTTTGGATGCCAGGTAAGTGCAGGACCCACTCAGGCTCTGGGAGGGCAAAAAAAACGGCTTCCCAGAAGTCCAGAAACGGGGCTGTTTCCGGTCTCTGGAGCCCGGGGGAGGCAGTTTTCGCCCTCCCAGAGGCTCAAGGAAAGCCTCTGGAGCCTGAGGAGGGCAAAAAATGGGGCTCCTGGAAATGGGCCCATTTCTGGCCTCCAGAGGGCCTCAGGAGCCCGGGGGAGGCAGTTTTTGCCCTCCCAGAGGCTCGAGGAAAACCCCAGGAGATGGTAGAGGGCGAAAACACCCCCCTCCACTGTGGTGCAGGAGGCTGACTAGGCAACGCCCACCACGGCCACGCCCACCCAGCAACCAGGCAGAGAACCGGTTATTAAAATTTTTGAATCCCACCCGTCTTGGGGGTGCAGGATAACTCCCCAAAATTATATATGTGAGTAAGGGAAGCTTGAAGAGTGAAGCCTGACTCTACTTACTTTCACAAGATTAGCAGGTGCTGCATCATAAAAGTTGATAAACGTCTTGTGTGTATGCACAGCCTTAAACGATTGCTGGCTTCATATCCCTTTAATAGAAAAATGAAATACAAGACGAAACCTTGAAGTGCCCACCCACATAGCTTCGAAATCCATCTAGACAGGAGATTATTATTTTTCCTTCTGCATTCCTGCCTCTGTCATCTCACTTAAGAGGGCAGGATTCCTCTGAGCAGCTTCCAGAGGTGTTAAAGATTCCACTATTGAATATTGATCAAAATCTTTGGAGGGCGCTAGTTTGTAGAAAGCTGATCTAAAGAGTCCTGGGCTTTAGCCCTTGGCTCTCAATTCCTCTTCCAGGCCCAGAAAGGAGCAGGCCTTGGAGACCACTCACTTGCCCGTAGCTCTCAGCTGCCGACTTGCTTGCTTCACACTCC